TGACCCTGGACCACAAAAGCAGTCTTAAGTCACTGGGGTATATTTGTAGCAATAGCCAAAAATACATTGTATGGGTCAAAATAATCGATTGTTCTTTTATGCCAAAAATCATTAAGATATTAAGTAAAGATCATGTTCCATGAAGATATTTTGTAAATTTCCTACTGTAAATATATTCAAACTTAATTTTTGATCAACATCTCTTGGACAAATTTAAAGGCGATTTTCTCAATATTTAGATTTTTTTTTTGCACCCTCAGATTCCAGATTTTCAAATAGTTGTATCTCAGCCAAATATTGTCCTTTCCTAACAAACCGTACATCAGTGGAAAGCGTATTTATTCAGCTTTCAGATGATGTATACATCTAAAATTTCGAAAAAGTGACCCTTATGACTGGTTTTGTGGTCCAGGGTCACATATACTGTGGAAATACTGTGATAAATTAAACCTTGAATTTTGCTGTAAAATACTGTTCAATTTAGTTTTTGGAAGTGAAAAGCAAGTCATCTTAGTTTATGGTTAAAAACGTTCTTAGATTTTTCTATTTAGTTACATTATGGGTTTATGTTACATCGTACAGTATGTTGCTAAATTAATATTAATATTGTATTATAAAGTGTTGTGTGTTACCATAATGGATTTGTATTTGTGTGCATGACACTTGCATTACAAATTATATTCTCAGCCTAACAATATTTAGTACACTGTAAAAATGATTTTTCATTGTAGATAAAACAGATTATCGGAGTACCTTTTACAAGAAATTAGCCTACTATTTTAGTCTTTTTACTTCAAAATTTCACATTTAATTCAATGTGTTACTTATGTTTCTTTGTAATTATTTGTGCAATTTACTAGCAATTTCTGAGTGAAAATTGTTTCAACACAAATTTAGAGTTTTTGGAAGTGAAAAATAACATATCACCCTAGTTTACAGTGAAAAACCATAAGCTTTTTCTTATTCCTTAGGGTTTCTACAGGGCTTTCTTAATTTGTTTCTTGGTAGTTTTATAAAGGTACAAAATTTGTAAGGTATATAAATATTATATCAGTTAGTGAAATAGGCTATATGTTGTTTTTAACCATAAATTTTGTCTCAGTTCAATCTGTAAAACCCAAAATTCTACCGAATTTTTTTAAGTTCTGGCAAATACAGCTGCTATTTTTCGACCATGAATTTCAGAGATTTTTTTTAAACAGTGATATGTATGTGTCCACAATTCATACAGTTTTATTTAATTCACCTGAAATTGGATGTAGGATACATAAATCAGCGTAGACATTGAGGGAGACGTGTCCAATATTCAGAGTACTCTTCAATCAATATGGGTTTTCAATTACAGATTATTCCATTTTTAATAAAAGCAATTTAAATAAAAGCCCACCGCTACTATCTAGTATCAAACAAACTACCTGTCACAATTTGCTGCTGCATAAGCTTTAGCCAAAAGTGAGATTGTAAAGCACTGCAAAGCACAAATTATTAACAATTTGGGAAGGATTTTTAATTGACATCTCAAGATCAAGGTTACAAATGTTAATAATGACAATATCTTTTAGTTTTTAAAAGTCATATCAACCAAGAGTTTAAATGCATTAGCACATAATCTGAGGGCATTATAGCTAATTAAAGCTCCTGCAGGCAATCAAGGCCTTATTAGCGCTACTCACAACCTTTCACCCAGCGTGACATATTGCGCCCATTACAGTAACTATCCCAGCTGTCCCTGCAGACACAAAGATCAACGTTAGCATTATGTCAAAAATGCACATGCATGTCAGATCAATACATTTAGATATAATGCAATGATAGACAGAGCTTGAGGCCGAATCTCTAAAGGGACGAGCAAACTTTGCTAATGTGACAAAATAAGCTTTGTCAGTTGTGCCCAAGGATATATGCAATGAATACTTGCCATGATTTTAGTCCTTCGGTTTTCACAATGAGCTTTGCACATTCAATTGAAGCTTTCAGGTCATCCTTAAGCAAATCTATCAGATGGGAAACATAAAAAAAAAAAAGGGTTATAGAAAAGTTTAAAAGCATAGATATAGTGGGATCAAAAAGTCTATTTTTCTATTTTTTTTACATTTTTTCCCCCCATTATAAACTATATTCTCAGCATAACACTTGTGAAAAGTTACAATACATAAATATTTAGTATACTGTAAAAAAATATGATTTTTCAAAGCTGTAAACAAAGATTACTGAGTAGTTTTTACAAAATATTTCAGTCTTTCTACTTCAAAATATCATTAATTCAATGTGTTACTTGATGTTTCTTTTAATTATTTGTGAAATTTGCTAGCAATTTCTCAGATAAATTTGTTTCTACACCATTTAAAAAAAAAGAAAATCTGAAACAAACATTTATACAATAACATTTCTTTTTATTTCATTTCTTAATTATAAAACTTAAATGTACAGTTATAAATACAGTTTTGAATCACAGATTTTTAGACCCCACTGTATGTTTTACAAAATTAAAGACGGCAACATCTAAATAATTTTGTCCATTTTTAACTACTAGTATACTTGAACAGTGTTCAATATGTTTTGTCACATGAAATCCATTTAAAGGAATAAAGTACCTGAACAGGGTATTCTGCACGTGTTCTTTCCACCTGGAGTGCCGTCATCGCACCATTTAAAACTGTTTATCTGGAAGATTCCATAGTCTTTCCCGGTATCAGCCGAACGCACTCTTTCGGTCTTAAACCTGCTTTCCCAGTAGGCCGTGCACACATCTGTTGAAATTCAAAAGTTCAAATCCAAAAGAAATGTAAAAAAATATTATGACCAGTTTTACAATACTTTGCATGTTTACTGAGAACTTTTTTAATGGATCCAGCTAATTAATACATATATATCAGGCATGTCAAAAATTACATGTTTGTAGTGAAAATGCAAATAACATAGTACCCACAGTTGCCAATTGAGAATCCCTCAAAGCCATCAAGTCCCTCTTGCTTGAAGATACGGACAACATCACAGCGATCCAGCGTGCGGCTCTCACACAAGCACAGCCACATCAGACACAAGACAGCAATAGCCACCCTCATATCTGCAGTGCTACTCAGAAAATCACTGTCAATATCTGCTATCTGAAGAGGAGTTCAGATGGAGGGTGGAAGCTGTAGAGTGGGATTATTTATAAGTGAATTTTTTGTGTCGCAACCAATTTTTCACAAGTGCATATAGTTTGCAGTTGCTTCAGATATGGCTGCTGAAGCAATAACTGACTTTGGGCTGTTCTATTTTTACTTCTAGAGCCAAAAAATATATTTTTTTACGTGCAGAGGAACTGGAAAAGATTTAGATCAAGACAACAGTGGACATATGACGAAATAGGCAATACTGTGTAAACCAGGTCATAATGTAGCTAACAAGAGCAGCATATAAAAACATTAAAAAACAAAACATGAAATATACAGTATATTGCTTTTTATTCAGAAATTTCCATATAGGTTGTAATATGCCTTAAAAAACTAATCTTAAACCTTTGGCCAAACTATGCTCTTGGTGAAAAAAAGTTACAAGTGTTTTTATCTGTCATCCAAACAGCCTGAAATGACTTGAGGAAAGATGCGGACATGGTTACAATGTGGAAAACTGTTGTGAAAGAACGGCTCCTTAATGCAACCTAATGTGCAATTAACTGATAATATTTGCAAAGGAAATGGAGAAGATGAGAATGTGTCAACACACAGCTCAAACGGCAGCTATGCATAACCACAAACAGCCCTCAGAAGGAAAGACCTACTGCTTGCTTCTTATTACTTGTCATATTGCAACTACACTTTTCATATGCATACTTCATTGTAAAATGCTGGCAAAAGTGTATCAAAAGTGTCAAAAATATAATTTGGTCATAAATGAACAACTCTGATCTGACATCAGCTGTAAGTAAAATGATTCAGTCAAAACGGCCATATTTAAACAGCACAGATATCTAAGGTAACGTGAAACTCAAGTTAACATTGTAAACTGGTATGTTTGTGTGCTTATGCATGACCTTAAACAAATATTTCAGTTTTAACTAAGTGGCAAAATGCTAAAAATATTATTGTAATAAATTAATAAACATATTACTATATTATAATTATATTATCAAATTAAATGAATTATAAAAATATACGAAGGAAAATAAATGAAGAGACAATAAAAGCAAATAATTTAAATACATTTAAAACAACCACAATTTGTTAGAATATTTCAACATCTGTTTGTGTTCCACTTGTCACTTATTTATTTAACTCTTTATTCAGTATAATCGGTCCAAAACCTTCATTAATTAATGTGTGAATAAACTGTGCTTTAGGGAACTTAATTTATGTTGTGAAATGAATATCTTAAATATTTGGTCAACAAAAAAAAAAAAAAGAGTAAACGATAACAAAATAATTGGATGTGAGAGCAGGTCCCGTCTCATTGACTGAAGAGCGGACCCTGCTGGAGGAGAGTGGAAGGAGCGTCAAAGTTCACAGCTTGTCCCTTATTCAAAACCAGCACTCTGAAGGAGTAACAACAGATCATAAATACCTTATTGGCATACTTGACATTTAATGACAGGATGAGTCACTTGTTATATAAAGGATTGTTGCTCCTGACCTATCAGTTTGCATGACAGTGAGAGGGTTCTGAGTGAGCCACAGTACAGTGCAGTCTTTAAACTCTGTGTGGATTAACTGTTGGACCAGGTCCTCTGATTCTAGGTCCACACAAGGAAGGGCCTCTTCCACAAGCAGGATTCTGACCCTTGCAAGCAGGGCTCTGGCCAAACAGAGCAGCCTCCTCTGGCCAAAGCTTTCACAACACAAAAACAAAAATATTTAACCCATAACAACCACTTGTTTGTTGTGCCAGTAGATAAAGGTTGCCATAGAGAAAAATATATTGGTTTCATGAGGCAATAAACCAGAGCCACGGTCCAGATCTGGACTCATGATTGGTTCCAGCCAGAATGTGAATCATTTCACGCTGCAGTTCGTTCTACACGCAAATTAAGCAGGCTTTATAACAACTTGTGGGAAACAATGAACTAGCTCAAATATTTGTGTTTGTCCAATCTGCAAAATCCACTTAATAAAACGTTTTAATAAGATTTTTAATAATCAAATGAGAAACTTGTAATCTTTGTGATTCTGTTTTTTGAATGTACTAAATGTTTTATTTTATTTGTTTTGATTTGTTTAAAAATAATAAATAAAATATTTTTTTTTAAATATACTTTTATTTACTTATTTCTTAATTGACCAGGACTTGAATCAGGTGATTTTGAACAAAATAAGCACCCTTAATATCAAATTGTGAGAAACAATGAATCAGCTCAATTTGTCCAGTCTGCAAATATCAATTAATTGCACTTGATTTTTGTAATCAAATAAGTAACTTGTAATCTAACAGTTTTTTTTTTTCAGTTATTTGTGATCCTATTTTTTTAACATATTAAATGTTTAATTTATTTTTATTTAATATATTTTTTTATTTATATAAGATAAATAAAATAATATCAAATATTTAATATATTTATTTATTCGTTTGTATGTTTTATTTGAAAACTTTTCATTTATTTTATAAGCTAATCGACCAGGACATGACCCAGGCCAGACCCGACTTTATACAGGAAAAAGCTCCCATCTTGGATACTGGGGCTTTATTATTTCTTACTTTTACAACATATTATGGTACCCAACTTGAAGATTTATATTGCATATTTTTGAAATTTTATAGAAAATGTATGTAAATTTGAAAAAAAATGTAATAGACAGCTAAGATAGACAAATAAAAAGATAGACAAATAGACCTGAGTTGAATATCTTTGCAATACGCTAATATATTTTCTACATTATCCATTTGTATAACTGTATGAAAATTAACTATATTCTGGTACGATGTAATACTTTGAATATTATAAAAATATGTAAAATTGGCCCACGGCATCCAAAGATTTGATTCCCACACACCTGAAAGCGAGGGAGGTCCTCTGTACAGGGTGCAGCAGCTGAGCAGGCAATAGTCGAACACGCTCATTCAGATGGCAGAGCTCCAGAGCCAACCACATCTGTGCATCAGTATACTGGGAGAACGGGTCCAGGTTAGTCCTCAGGGGGACCAGAGAACAGTACGGGAACCTGTAACACATGGGACACCATAACTCATTAGTGAATACAATACCTGGATAATGCTTGTTACTGGCGGAGCCTGGGTAAAGCTAGGTTTAGATTACACACAATATTATAGAGCATTCCATCTACCACACCCAGTGAAATAGTTCTGTTAGCTGTCAACACTCCTTCGCCTCCAGTCTTTGATCGGTTTAGCTGTGGCTGGATCAAGCTAGTTCGATATCATTCTCTTGTATGCAAATATTGATCAGCTAACCTGAGAAATGATTTGTAGACGACTACGAAGGTCATGTAGACCCATGCGGGCAATGTTTACATCGTCAATCAGTACAGCACCGCTCCTGGCCTCCACTGACCGGAACAGACAGCTAACCAAACCATCAGTGCCTGTCTTCTCCCTGCTTATGACCCCAATCTATACACATGCAAACAAACAAAAACCTCCCTGAGATTTACATTTTGTTAGTTAATGTTAACTAATGTAGTTAACTAATGTTAACAAATGGAACCTTATTGTTACCTAGTGTTACCTATTTATTTATTATGAGCATGTAAATCTTAGGTTTAGCAATAAATAAATAACATAATGAAATTAAATAGTAATTAATTTACTTATTTATTATCAGTTTGGAAATCTAAATAAATAAACTACTCAAAGTACCTTTTCCCCTTTTAGAATGGTGAGATTAATTCCTCTAAGAGCTAGTGTGCAGTTAGAGGAGGCTTCAGACTCAAAGCTCCTGAACTTCACTTCTCCATGCTGGGGCCAGTCATAGGGTGGTCTGTAGGTGATGCTCCATGCTGCCTAAGGTAAAAAGGGCCAGATGGCTCAGTCCAATTCCATGGAGAGGAAATGACATCTAGTGACACTTAG